ATTGTTAATCGTAAAATGGTTGTAATTCTTGTATTCAGTAAGCCTCATCATCTGGAATATATACCATTGATAGCTGGGGTATTTAGCGCTGTATTTTTATGCTAGAAGAAAATGACTCCTTTTGAATACGAAGCTATTTCGTTTTAATCAAAAAAATGAGATATCTCTTGAACCGTGTGTGCACCCAAATGAGGTTAAACGATCATCAGCATGTTATGAGCTTATATACATAACTCTCTACTTAGTATTATTATTGATTTCCTGGACAGACTCACTTTTGACCGGTTGTAGATTCATGCAGTGGCGGCGCGACCGGGGGAAATACCCCCCCATACTTTCAAAAAATTTTACTCTGATTTACTTCGATTTCACGATGTATACATGTTTTTCCGATAATAGCATGTATGAACATTTTCAAATAATATAATAAATCTCACCTGTTCCCACTTTATTTGTATCACTCTTCTTTTCTCCTCCTCCATCATCTCTTGTTGCTCCCAATAATTTGAATATCAGGCCTGTTTGACTGTGTTCACCAACAGCTAATACTAACATTTTACCACTACCTTCCATTATATGTGTTCCTAAATACAGACACGAAACACATGAATATATCAATCAGTAACAAGTAAAATAATCTCACTACCGGTTTTCACGAAAAGAATTTATTAAAGATCTGTTATGTTGACCTGGCATGCTACTTCTAATAAATGCTTTTGCGAACGATTTATGCTATACATTGTTTTTTGAAGTAAACAGTTTGTACTCACCAGATAATAAAAATGGATCTTTGGATTCATGTTTTTTTATTAAATCAGATTCTCCTGTTAATGATGACTCATCAACTTTCAGATCATTCGATTGTACAACGATACCGTCAGCTGGCAATAAATCACCTAAAAATACAGCAATTTTTTGTTTTTTTCCGAATCAGAACGGCTTATAGTGAAGGTATTTTGTTAAAAAATAGTACATTTCATTTATAATAAACGTACCGTATTTAATCTGACAGATATCACCGACGACGATATCTTTAACTGGTATTTGTTGAATAACATTATTTCTTCGTACATTAAATTTTTGATCTGATTCAATCTTTAGTTGTAATCCTCTAAATTGCCGTTCTTTCGACCAATCATTAAACGATGTTGCTAGTACAACAACAACTACTGCAACAATAATTGCTGCACCTTCAATCCATTCAACATTTGCTTCGCCTAAACATATGATGAATGAGGTGAGAGAGAAGAAGCAATCTTTTGCGAAGTCCCTCACATACGATAAATATTTGAAGTGACGAAGAGATGATATCGTTTTCCATGTCATCTCGGAAGACAAAGGAAAAGAACAAAAACGAACTTTCTTTCTTATATAAAATTCATTTATGTTAGAATTAATTTGTTTTAAATCCAGGGTAACGCTTGTGTTCCGTCTAATTTACGGTAATTATATAGCACGTATCTTTTGCTTTTATATCGAGTAGTTTTGTTTTATAAAAAAACTTTACCACTATCTCTTATACTATATTGAGAAAGGAGTTTTTATTAAATTATGCTGCAATATTAATAATGTTCACCCGATTTCAAGTTTGCATTGAGAAATTCGTATGCTAAGCCTGGAATGTGTGCGGAAACTCTCTAACTCGCTTTTCTCTTTTTTTTCTAGTAAAAAATTTATCTGTCATTAAAAATGTATCAGCAAAATTATAGTAAGCGTACAATATTGCTATATAGCTAAATAATCACTTTACTTGGTCTTAATTCTGCTTCAAATAAATCTGAATCTGGATGGTAAAAGGAAAGTCCAAATGAAATAACAGCACATATTATCAAAATAATCAATGTCACATCTTGAATGGCTTCGAACATTAAACGTAAAAATGCTTTTGGTGGCTTTGGAGGAATTTCATTACGGCCAAATATTTGTCTACGGTTTGTTAAGTCGTTTGGATCATCATTCAAACCTTGAAAACATACGCAAAACCCACAAAGATAAAGCATACAGATCAACTACATCAGCCAATGCTTTTCAAACTAATTTCAGAAATATGTTGAGAGAAAATAGATCTAAGAATCTTTAAGGGTACACTCACCTCTCATTTCAGAAAAAATTTTCATTTTGAAGCTGGATTTTTCGAATCTAAGCTATAGAGTTCTGAAACTTAAAAATTGAGGTCTCTCAAAAGTTTTTGGATACTTTTCCTATAATTTTTTGAATGAAGCAAAAGAGAGAGATACCTCTGTGTTATGGTCTCAGGTATCTATGATAAAAATATGAGCCCGATCGAATGAAATTTTAGAACGATTGTAACATAAATGGGTTAAAAACCAAAATCTTCAGAAACCTCTCGAACGCTGACAGTTACAGAAGTCGGAAGAGTCTTAAAAAATGTTTAAAAAGCGTTTACATACACTAGAAAAAAACAAGAATCGATCGCTTTTACTTTAGGAGCAGCACTAATTTTGTCAAGAGCTTCAAAGGAGGGGCAGTATGATTAAATAAGCAGAATGACTGGATTCTTACCCGTGACTAGATTTGTGTTTAATTTTTTTCCAATCCCATGTATTCCTTCGTATAAATTTTGTAATACTTCCATTCCTTCGTGTCCTCTCGTTTGCATTAGTTTTTCCAAATCATTTATGGTAATTCCATACTGTTTTTGTGCATCGGTGGACAAATACGACGAACGATTCTCCGTTTCTTCTGCTTGTCGTTTAGATTTCGTTTTTGACATTAGAATCAGATGTAAAAATAATAATAAATTAAAAATTATTCTAATCAATAGACGTCAAAATAAAATTCAGTCAGTGCAAACCAGTTAATAGCGATGAGCGTAAATGGGAGCAAATATTGGTGAAGCTTTACTTGCTGTTAGATGTTCGAGATAATGATTAAATCCATTCATGGTTGCTTTTATACTATAGTAAAAAAAAATACAACAAAATTCGATGATATAAAGAATCTTTAAATATTTAGTTCATACTTTTCAGACTGTATATGAATCGAGTACGTTTTCAGCAATACGAATGCATTAAAGATGATTTCAACGTAAGATTTAAAAAAAATGAAAGACAAACATTTTTTTTGACAGATCACATGCGCAGTAACAGACGTATGTAGAATATACGACGAAAAAAAGAAGAACAGTTCGTTTTATAACGCGAGTTACGTTAGTCATATAATATTTAGAAAAAAGATTTTCATTATAAGAGATGGGCTCAGTATGTAAGAGCATCGGTAATACTATAGAGAATTTTCTTTCTTACTATAAAATGCATCCACGAACAAAAAATCAAATCATAACTGAATAAACAGAAGAGTTAAAATAAACTTTCTTTACTCAGAAATTTAGGATAAATCCATGACTGACAAGTTTTTGTCTGCAACTAGATAAGATAAGATTTTATTTTTACTAAAGTGCAGGATATCACAAAAAAGAACAAAAGACTTGTGGCATCCGTGGATACCCTGTGCTAACCGAAAACTAAAAATTTAAAAATGAACTACTATTACCTGTATATACTTAATGCTGGAAGCACACCAAGTGATCGTATTGTAACTTGTATCTATTATTTGTTCATCTGATTCTTCTTTTCTTTTACCTTTTGTCCTTTTTTTCGATACTGCTTTATGTCTCCGTTTTATGCTTAAAAACCTGTACAATTGTACGTAACATGTAAAGGGCTTTTATCTCGATTTGTAGTTTAATAAACAAAAGTTTAAATTACGAAAAGCAGTTTCTTGTCCAAGTCAAAGTACTTCAGAATCAAAATTCCGAACCAGAAAGTTCTGCGGCAATCAAAGCAACTTTTGATTTTTGTTAAGTTTGTTGTAAAGATTTATTTTTTAATTAGTCATTACTTTTAACATATTTTAAGTCTTTTTTCACTTTAATTTTCAAAAATTATCAACTTTATTCTCCATATGGTTTAACTCTGCTATAAAAATTCTATATCCTTAGTCTTCTTCCTGATCGTACATTGACGATAATCAACATCAACATACGAGTTGAGAGTGGCGTTCTCAGTAATTTTTTGGGATATTTTGTTTGATTGTTCTTTTTCATTTTGTTTTCTCTATCCCTCGGATAGTTAGAGAGATACATCTTTTCAGGGTCGCGAATCTAATCTGCATAAGGGTAGAAAGCATCTGAATTATTGGTTACATTAGTCCATATATTGATGGGCTTTGTTTTCATTGTGATGAGTCACTTACTTCAAAAAAAAACGTGAGTTGTGATCGAACTAAGAGCCAGACATAAAAATGTTACATGTTTGTAGCTCACGTCTGAATAACGCGACGATAAGTGTCATGTCATGTAGATTGACAAGATTTTTACTATTTTTTTTGTAAATAGACATAGTCATTGTTATTGTAGTTCTTCCACGTTTTATATAACTTCAGAGTTGATTATATTGCTATAGCGCTCGAGTCAGTCTCGGCAAAGATGCTCTGGAAACTTATAGACTCTTGTCCGTTCTTTTATTTATAGGTTAGTTCTTTTTTTGAATTTAGAAAGCCTGAATCTGGCAGCGTGCTTTTTCTAGTTGGAAGAGCTACTGCGTTTATATTTTGAAGTATGAATAAGAAATCCGAGACCAGCCATTGTTCTGAAATATTAGAAAAACCTACCGAGTAAAACCACATGTGAAAACTATTCAAATTTGAGAAATTAATGAATAATATCATTTCGAAACGCAATTGATAAAGCTGTGATCTTAATGAACTGTTAGCTTATTGCACAGTTGTGTCTGATCGAGTCGCTGTATCGGTACTAACAAGAAGGGAAGAGTATACTGAACTTAGGCAAGGATTCTTGTTTTCGGACTCTTTAGGATCAAGGTTAAGCGAGAACGTGTGACTGATTTAGAAGAGGAAAGCGTTTAAAGGAAAGAATTTTTTATAATCGTTTGTACGGAGAAAAAGAATAAGCTTTTCTAGTTGACTAAAAGACTAAGGTTGTATCCTTCTATCTTGATAAGACATTTTACCGTTTAGCTTTTATTTCTCCACGACACTTCATCAGTGTGAAAAACGCAGATAACGACTATTGTACATTTACAATGAGAATCACAACATATTTGTTCGAAATGTCTAGAGTGTAATTTACTGAATATTTCTGAGAACACTTATGTATTTACGTGTCTCCAGATAATCAGTGTGCTAATTGGACTTCTATTTTTCTTGCTAGATTAATGTCGATTTGCTTTGTTTTCTTTTATATATGTATACCGCTTTTCTTTGGTTATCCATCATGTTCTTATAGAAATAATACTTTTTTATACGGTAATGGAGTGATGATAGATGAACAATTTTGTTGAAAAAAAATAATTTCATAACAAAAAAGCTTTTTATGTACTAATGAAAGTCGAACGTTGAATACACTAATACCAATTCTTACAAAATTGGATAATGACAAAAGTTTGTAGAATTTTGACTATAGCAGTTATAATATTGTGAGTCTAATACTTGTAAAAAGTAATCGTAGTTTATCATCACGTTAAATTGACGGATGATATCTGAACTTTTAGTCTTTATTTCTGGCATTCTATTTTGAAGAGTTCAAATTTTCTTCTTTTTATGTTGTTATCTGACCTTTTTTTTTTATCAGCTTGAGAATCTGTATTATACATTCTTGCGTTGTTGTCACTCGTTGTTCTTGTTGTTAATGAATGTGTCAACGTTAGACTAATATTACTGTTGAAACATCAAGTCTGTTTATAACATCAAAACCTTTTTGTCCTTGAGATGTTTGATATCCTGCAGACGCAGTTTACTCTTTGTCTTATTGATAAAAATATAGTAACAACACATTCATATATAACAAAAAAAAATTATCATTTGATGAAAATTGTATTAAATATTTTTTTTCTTTAAGATGATGGTAAAAAGATGTATTATAAAATATATAGTTTGTTTATTTACGAAAGGAAAAGGAAAAAAAAAAGAAATTCAATGACTTTACGTCATTCTATTTATTTGATGGAATGTATATTATGTTATTATATATAATGAAGATATTATAGATATTTTTTTTCAACCATTAGCGTCAATATACGTGCGTGTGCTCTTGTATGTATATATGTCAGAGGATAAAACAAAGACGAAAAAAATATTTGTAATAATTACCACCTTTTCTTATTTTTTGCTCTGTTTGAGTCTGTTTGATTTTTCTCTATGTACTGTTTAGCCATTCTTCTTGAATCAGAATTGAGCTCAATAAAATAAGCGTGTGTATTTTATTTGTGTTCGAGTAGTACTAGAAAAAATATCTTTTTGTAATATGCCTTTAGATAGATAACTATTCAGATATTATATGGAAGTGAAAAAAAAAAGTTTCTGTTCTTATATTTAATTTCGTTTTATTTATCTCTTAATGTCATATATATTATATTATCCATTAAATTGAATAAAATGATTCGTATACTTAGTTAAACTTGTGTTTCTCAAATCCAAAAAGTAGCAAATATTTTTTTGTGCCGAAGTTATACATATATATAATAATCTTAAGCTATAACATAGTCGTAGGTAATTTTTATCTCTGTTTCTGACATTTACTTTTATGAATTAATCATTTCTTATCTTATTTTAGATGTATTATGGATAAACCGCCATCATCGTCACCCATCATATCGTCACCAATTCTTCCCTTGACAATAATACCACTTCAACCATCAACGCTAACTATTTCAGTGTCAACGCCTTTAGAACGACTACAGAATAATGAAAAACCAGAAAAACTATATAAAAAAGAAAAACAAATACTTCTTGAATTTGATTTAATCGTCAAAGGTATGTATTAAGTTTTAAAAAGGCACCTTTTTCTCTTGTTCAAATCTGTAAAACACGATGTACGACTTTCTTATTATTCAAAGTAACAATTTTTGATTATCATTCATTATGAGCGTATATTGTTCGATAAATGAAATATTTAGTCGTATTATTGTTTTTATTTAAGGAAATTTTCAGCTTCAAATGTAGTGAGTAATCAAAAATTGTTAACAATCGTGCGTGCTTATATGAATATTTGTGCTAGAATTAACTTGTTTTAAAATTCAGAATAACGCTTGTGTTCCGTCTAATTTGTGGCAATTATTGTAGCACGTATCTTTTACTTTTATATCCAGTAGTTTTGTTTGATCAAAAACCACCATTTCTCGTACACAGTTATTAAGTTATGTTGTTCATTCGATTTGAATATATTTGTAGAAACTCTTTTACAAAATGATAGTATACAGTTTAAACTAATCAATTTTATTTTTGATATTCAACATTAAAAAATTATATGCGAGTAAACTCGTATGTTATATTAAGCTTTTTTCTACATTAGAATGAAATGAAGACCTAATCTTATTACATCATTCTAACTCGAAACTATATAAATAGAAAATTAGTTTTTGTAGAAATGGACAAGCAAATTAAGAGCTGAAGGACATAATCCATAGTACACACAACCTATATTTTGTACAACGTTTAAAAGTTGTGCAATATCTGAATATTAATAATAGTATTTTTTTATTAGTTTTCTATTTTTGTGTGGGTAAATCTAGTTCATGCTTCCATATATAATTAATGTAGGAATATAAGATATTACGTCTACAAGAAAAAAAAATTGTTTGTCTTCCAGTTTATCATTAAAAATGTTTTGGAACATTGAGCATATGTTACTGTCATCGAATTTGTTCATGCGTAAAATATAACACAACAGTTGACGTTATCGATATCTATACATATATTTATATAGACAAACGTTCTTTCATGCGTCCTATTAAGTTACATACATGTATACTGATTGTTATTTCATCAATAATGATTATCTCGTCTCTTTATATTCATACTTTTTTTTATTGTTCATTACGAGTAAAAAATGGTCTATTTGATAAATTCCTTTATCACCACCTGATGGTTACGATTCATCAGAACCGAAAGCAAAAAAAGACTAAAATATTAATAATCTTCTTTCTGTACGTGTTTATTCAAATGAGAGAAAAAGTACCCTACTCATCATAGTGAGCTAAATAGAAAGAAAAGAGAAATTTAATAGAAATATGAGTAGAATGCTTAATAATTGACCGAAGATGAACGTTTTTAGTCGACGTCCGCCATTGAACATTTCATTCATTCTTCTTTCCTTCAAACAAATCCTTATCAGCATCTATGAACTAATACAGTCAGTCTGTGTATATGTCTGTGTATAGAAAAAAAAACGTTTCTCTTCAATCATTATTACTCAGTTTGTCGTACATATTCTTTATTTCTCTTCTTGTCCTTACATACGTTTCTTTGTCCACAATAAAGAACTATTCGTCTCTATCAAGAGAGAACAAACCTTGGCATGAAAATTTTAAAAATTTTTATTTGTCTTATCAATTGAATATTTGTTCTCTTTGATATAATCATCATGGTTAATTATTCGTGTGGTGTATCTAAAAATGGTCTAAGACGTACTAATACACAATTATCATTACTTAGAAAACGACTTGAACGATATAAATTACGTGCGTAATAAAAACATAAATAACTCATTTTTTTCATCTTTACAAAAGTCAATTGAAATTAACGTTATTAAATCATTTATTTTCTTCTTTTTGCTTATCTTAGACATACGTTATCAGTTGAATGAACAATTGAAATGTCTTGAACAACGTTTAGAAACACAATTATCAATAGTGAGTGATATACAAGATTATTTTAAACGTCGTGCCGAAGTTGAACTTGATTATGCCAAAAACTTAGACAATTTATATAAACAAACATATCAAAGACATAAAGCACAAAAAGCAAGGTATATAATTATCGTCTTCAATTAGCAGAACAGTATCCAATTTTGAGTGTCTCAAAAAACTAAACTGCTATCATCATCATCATTAGTTATTCGTTTTCAATAAAAAATAATATTTTAAAATGTTCTATTTAGACGTGAAACATGGGTGCTACATTCAGTATACAAATTATGGGACAATATTGTTCAAGATACACGTACACATGTCAAATATCATACAGTCATGTCAGATATATGTGGAAAATATATGTCGGATAAATTTAATGAAATTGCTGATGATACACGTCGAATGTTTGGAAAAGTAGGATTATGATAAAAATCGCACATAGAAATTATATTTATTCGTTTTTTCTTAATTAGTGTAAAAGTGTTGGTCAAGCAAGTCATGATGAGATTTTTAAAGTGCTTAATGAACTGCAAAGTGTGAGTTAATATTTAATTTCTATTATTTTCAATAAAAAATAATCGATTATTCTTTAGACAATGAAAACGTATCATCAATATCAGAGTGAAAGTAAACAAGCCGAACAAAAACTTCGACAAATACAACAACAAATGACAAAATTAAAAAGTGTTAAAAAACAAAAATCAATGGAAAAACGTGTGGAAAAAGTAAATAATGATAGAATATTGTTCATATATTTAAAAATAAAAAATTTTAATTTAGCGTCAAATGAAATATACCGAAACAAAAGTAAAAGCATTCAAAGCAAGAAATGATTATTTATTAACAATTGAATCGGTTAATGCAGCCTTAACAAAATATTGTACAGATGATGTACCGGATTTAATTGATGTAAAAAAAATTTAATATTCTCTAGCTCAAAACGAGATAATTCATTGTTATCATCATATTTTTTTAGTGTATGAATTTTGGTTTTCATACATCGACTGCAAAATGTTTAATGATGTATTTATCCGCACAGGAAAATATAAAACGTTCTCGTCAAATGACAATTGAATGTTTAAATCGATCAATTGGGGATTTAGATACAGTTGGTGATAAACAAAAATATTTAGAATATTATTCATCCATTTTTACTATGCCAAAAAAAATTAAATTTGAACCACACAAAGGCGATGAAGTAAAAAAAAAAAAAAATTTTTTTTTATCTTTTATTTTTAATAAACTAAAAATGATATTTTGATAGGTATCGGCAGTGAATGCTCAAGTTCTGATACGTGAAGATATGCAACAACGTTTTGGTCAACTTCAAAATCGTTTGGCATCACTTAAAACTGAAAATGATGAGGTTTGCTATCAATTTTTATCTAATGTTTATATAAATGATGTTCTTTTTGTTGTGTTTATTAGATTTTTAAAACAATCGAAGCAACAGAACAATCATTAATGAACTATATTAATGTTAAAAATTCTGATTTATCGGATTTATTTAAAGATCTTAATCTTCCACAAAGTGCACCAAAAGATACGAGAAAAGAAATTGAAGATTATTATATTGAGGTTTGATATTTTATTTGTAAAAATATTTATAGAAAATAAGTTTTTAATAATTATTTTATTTAGAAATTCAAACAGTATACACTTAGTAGTAATTTAATAGCAAGATTACAAGCACGTCATGATGTTATGCAAAAAGCACTAGGTGCAAGTCCCGTTCCCTCTCAAGCAGATGAAAAATGGTTTGTACTTTGAAAATTGAATAATAAATCTTTATTATAGTTTAATCGTTTTTGAACATTTTCAGTCTTATACGCCGTCCGAATAAACCAAAACAAATTGGTAAAGCGCCAATCATTGGACGTCCACGTCTATTTGGTGGAAAATTAATCGATTATATTCAAGTTACACAACAAGATATTCCTTTGATTATCTCAAGTTGTGTTAGTGCTATTAATCGTCTTGGATTACATAATCAGGTATGTGTACACGATTAATTTATATACTAGAAAAATTTGTTATCTTCGTTTGTTATTAATTTTAGGGTATATTTCGCGTACCAGGTGCACAAGTGGATATTAATCAATTTAAGGATATTTTTGAAAAAGGTTTATTGATAGAAATGAATGAATTCTCTTATCACTTTGCTATTTTTGTTTGTTTTTGATAATCAGGCGAAGATCCACTAGTCAATGTTTCTGCACGTGATATGAATTCGGTGGCAGGATGTCTTAAATTATATTTTCGAGAATTGAAAGAGCCACTATTTTCACGTGATATGTTTGATTCTTTCATGGCTTGCATAAGTAAAATTTCATTTCTTAATCGTATAAATTATAAATGTGGAAATGTTTTTTTTCTTTTTGTGCTTTAGTTGGAGTTGAATCCGAAGAGAAATGTGTGGAAAATGTTCGTCAAGTTGTCAAACTGCTACCACGATCAATTTTCATAGTTATGCGTTATTTTTTTGCATTTTTAAATCAGTAAGTGTAGATAAAACGCAGTACGTATACGTATTTTCAAAAAAATAAAATGTTTTTTTTCTTTACTTTAGTTTAGCTGAATATAGCGATGAAAATATGATGGATGGTTATAATTTAGCATCTTGTTTAGCACCAAGTCTAATGCCAATACTTGAAGATAAAGATCAAGTACAATATTTGACACATGCAATTGAATTAATAAGAACAATAATCACACATCATGAAGAAATATTTCCGAATGATGGTGGACTCGTCTACGAAAAATTTGCCATCTCCATGTAAGTTACTCTAATTGTATCTCAGGGTTTTTTGGACTTTTTTTCCTATTTATCTAGAATAAATAATATTTCTTTTTTTATATATTTATAGGGATGTTGAAGAAGGATCTGACAAGGATGAAGATGATGAAGGCATTAGTGAACAACGTTCATTACATCGAGAAGGCACTGGAAGTGACGATGGTATGTTTCTCGTTGATTCGTAGATGTTCCTTTCATTCTCTAATAAATTGTATGTTTCTACAGACTCAGACTATTGTACAGAAGATCAGAATTTAATAGAAACAGATGTTTGGTAAAAACAAAAAGAATATGATTTTTTTTTCTTCTTTCATCCATATCATTCCCAGAATAGCGAGAGTTTTACCTCGCATGAGACTTAGAGAAATACTTTCGCTTCGCTTTTTTTTATAAATAGTAACTATACTGTTTTATAAGAGGCTTTCTTTTCTCCAAAAAATAGAAAAGTCATTAAAAACACAATGTTGTATGCAAACGCCTAATGTATTTTTTACCAAAAGATATATGAACTTTAAAACTTAATGAATTCATTTGCATGAGAAATTTATGCTTAAATGCATGATTAATTTAAAATGCTTTTTGCTTTTCCAAACCAACAATCAACAACAGACATAGCAGATAATATATTTGATTTTATTTGTCTAGAAACGGAAGTGATTGAGGCATTGGCTCAATTTGATTATTGTGGACGCACTGATAAAGAACTATCATTCAAAAAAAATGATATCATCTATATATATGGGCGTATTAGTAATGAATGGTGGCATGGTCATCTTTTAAATGGACAAATGGGCTATGTGCCAGATAAATATATCAAATTTAAAAAGTTCGTCTTTTTCAATAGAAGAAAAGGAAAATTTGATTGTTAAATTAGAATGTTTTTGTTTAGACGTCGTATTTCCAGTTCAAACAATGTTTTAATAAATTCTATTAATCCTTCATCATTGAATTCTGTTAGTGTAACAACATCGAATGAATTAGACGATAGAATGAGTCAATCACCTGATATACCTCTCGTTGATGAATTACGTTTCAAATCTGCTAAAGAGACTGACATTTTGGATAATGACAATGAAGAAGATAGTGATAATGATGATAACATTGAAGTAAACGAAAGTCTCTATGAAAATTCTCATGCGCTTGATAGTTTGACACATTCGTCACTTCCTTCTCGTATGATTTATGATGTAATTCCTCCATCACCTGTACTAACATCGAAAAGTGAATCGTCCTCACGTGTTCCATCAACTAATGAACAACAAATAATCGATATTGACACAGCATTGAGAGAAGTTTTGTCGGGTATACGTACAGTCGAAGAATGTCATGCACAATGTTTTCGATCAATGCCAAACTCGTTACCATCACCACATTTACTACACACTGAATTAGATCGCTCTGTCAACATTCTTGAGACTATTGCTTCAACAACAACAACCACCACAACATCAGCATCAATCGAAACAGCTGCACCGGATCTTGTTTTAAATCTGCCTCTTACAAGTGGTCTCATTACTCCGCCAGCATCCAAATGTCTCGATTCTCCATCGGTCACTGATCATTTGTCAAATATTGCACAATCATTAACGTCATCAGCAGGTGCATCACCTATAACTGACGAGGCTCCGCTAATCACTAGTACTTCTGCTATTTATATTGAAGAATCTCAATCAATCTCAACGTCTTCTCCGAATTCTTCAGTGTATACGATGGAAAAGCTACGTTCACCTGAACCACAAAATAGAAAAATTCCACCCCAAGTAATGAAAAAACCAGAAAAAACTGTGGAATTATTAAAAAAATTGGGTCTGACGAATCATCATTTACCCACATTTACGTCGTCTTGTTCATCCACATCCTCGTCATCTACCACGTCATCAAATTCAAATTCACCTCAGAATATATTTCATGCTCAAATTATTCCCGTTTCAGCTGGCGCATCTAAATCAACAGACGTCTGATCCACTAGTCATTTGTATTTTTTGTTTTGACTTCATTTTTTCTTTTTTTAGTTTGTTCTGACAATATTGACTTGAGCAGGCTCATTGATCATCTTCTGAATATTCTTAGGTATTGTTATGTTTCTTTTAAAGATTTTTTCCCGTTTCTTCATTCTTTTGTATTGTTTTTTTTCTATGTATTTTGTATAATGTAGATAGATGATTTTTCTACTGTTTATTTGGTTCTTTTGTACGCACTTTCTCAATTTGAACAAAAGAAATAATCTAATGAATGTGACTAGGATTGAAAGCATTTTAATTGATGAACTATATGGAAACGTATCACAATTTTTATTGTTGTTTTATTATTATATACAGAAGCATTTTATTTTATTAAATGCACTGAATCTCCATTTTGTATTAGTAAAAAAATGTTCTGGTAGTTTTCATGTTAGAGTGGTATCTTGACCAATTAGTGCACCACATCTAAAATTTTACGCCGTCTGCCAAATCGAATTCTCTGAAAGAATAACTGCATAGGTGAAATTTTATCCTTGAATAGAAAACACTTTATGCTCATAGAATTTTATAAACCTCTAATGTTTGCTAAAAAATACTGAAGCAAAACGAAGTATCTAGTCTAATATATGTTTCTTGTCCCAACACCTAAAAAATTGTAAACAACATCGAGACATCAGACATATGCTGTAATCTTCTTGTACGAAAATTGTTGTAATTTCAACCAATGTTTGATTATTTTATTATTGTATCGTTGCTAACGTGTTCAGAGAAATATTTGATCATACAAAATATATACCATCGTCAATCGTAATTTACTTCAGTATTATTTGTACGCAAGATATCTAAACGATCACATCACTTGTGAAGAAATTTGAGATTTATTTGCAGAACGAAAATTGAAGAACAAATATATAATGATTCTTCTTCTACAACAACGAACTGATGAAATAAATAAATTTTCAGCTGATTTTTGAAAACGGTAAAACCACTCAAAAAAGCGATTTTTTCAAGCAATTTTTTGAACAAGAAAACTTTATCCAAAAAATCAGATATTATGGAGGTGTAATCCAGTCATTTTTGGTGTGTTGTGTTTTACTAAATAATTCTGTACAAGAAACGTAAAACAACTATTGTAGAGGGAGTCTCTAAGACCATTCTCTAAATTCTAATTAGAGCTTTAAAAAATATGCCATTTTATAGAGCATTAAATTGTCTATGTTTTTAAATGAGGAACAAGATTTTCAGAACGCGTACAAATAGGTGAAAAGTTGAGAACAAAAATACCCCATTTATTCTGAAACCAGTAGAATACATTCTTCGTACAAAAAAACTTTGAACAGAAAGGGTGACTCTGACGTTTGTTCTTTTGCACGAAAGAAATATGATGGATTTTTTTTCTTAAATTTTATGGAGAAAGGGCAAAATTTTTCAAACGGTAGGATAGGATAAAATTATTAAATATTTTACAGAATAGAGTGCAAAGTACAAGAATATGCTGCGCTTTGAAGTAAGTAACAAACAAAATAACTGTTGGCTTGTAAACCTGACTAAGCGCAATTTTTATCAATTTTTTAATTATATGTTATAGATAAAATACGCTTTTTGTTAGAGAATATGCATTATAAACTTAAAATTTAGATTACTCTATTCATTATTAAGATTTTTACACATTGTACAGTTGTTCTACCACTGAATAGACTTTTTATCTTTCGTTTGTTTATTTATAAGTACATCCAAATTCCATTGATCAACAAAAATTTATATGTGGTTAAATTTTATAAAATTGTCATCAAAGTTGTTTATTCTGAAAAATGATACGATAGATCTCATATAATCTATCACTATATCCTATTTTCTATGACGTCTGTACGAAATGATTATCTTGATGTCGTCCTTTGTTTATTCCTACTGTCAGATTTGCAGCAACATGTCGATAAAACTTCATCCATATTTTTCGATGTTTATATGAAAATGTATTCTTATGATAAAATTCTAATGTGTATAGAAGACTGTCCATTAGAAACTAAAATAAAAATAAAAAAAATACATGTATTTTCTTCTTGAATAATGGCAATGATAATAATAACCATATGTCATTAAGATTGAGAATACTGAGAAACAGCTAATGGATAAAAAACTAATACTTATTTAATTTCAATGAATGAATATTAGACATGCACCGAGTAATTGACTAAGAATTTTATATTTTTTCCAGAACCTGCCGTTTCGTAAATTGCTTCGTTCGAAATTTTCTGACTTGGTAAGAATGTAGAGCAAACATTTCTCTA